ACAATGGCACAATGATTTCAAAGCAAACAGTAAGACAAGCTCTGAGTTGTTTTGTTCTTGTTTTTGTTTTTATATATAGACAAGGTTTCACCGTGTTGGTCAAAGCGCTGGGATTACAGGCGTGAGCCACCGCGCCCGGCCTGGGCTCTGATCTTTTGTAACAGAGACAGCGGCAGCAAAGAAGCAACGGAAGGAAACTGTTCAAGCGCTGAAAGGAAAACCCTGTAAACCTAGAAAAATACGACCACGAAAATGTTCTTTAGGGAATGAAAGCAAAATCAAGGCTTTTCAGACAAAATAATGCTGAAAGAAAGCATAAGGCCAAGTGAAAAGAAGTTCTTCAGGCTGACGGACATGATCCCAAGTGCAAGGTGGAGGATACACGTGGGTCAATACAGAGAATGTTCACTGTTAAAACAGCAACGTTACCATCTTGTGATACGTAGTTTTGAGACGGAGTCTCGCTCTGTCGCCAGGCTGGATGCAGTGGCACCGTATCGGCTCACCACAAGGGTTCAAGTGATTCTCCTGCCAAGCAGCTGGGATTACAGGCACCGCCAGCACCATGCCTGGCTCATTTTTTTATTTTTAGTAGAGACAGGCTTTCACCATGTTGGTCTTGAATTTTGACTCCGGTGACCTCAGACTCCCAAAGTGCTGAGGTTACAGATGTGAGTCACCGCACAGAGCCTCACAGTCCACTTTAAATGAGTACATTCTACTTCAAAGTGGACTGTGATAAGAAATCATATTGTAACCTCTAACGTAAGCACTAAACTAAAATTATAAGCTGAAACGGGGGGACAAAACAAAGCTACTTAATTAATCCAAAAGGAGATACAAAAAAAATTAAAAACAGGCTGGGCGTGGTAGATCACGCCTGTAATCCCAGCACTCAGGGAGGCGGAGGCGGGTGGATCACCTGACGTCAGGAGTTCGAGACCAGCCTGACCAACATCGTGAAACCCCGTCTCTACTACAAATACAAAATTAGCTGGGTGTGGTGGCGCACGCCTGTAATCCCAGCTACTTGGGAGCCTTAGGCAGCAGAGTTGCTTGGACCCAGGAGGCGGAGGTTGCAGTGAGCTGAGATCGCGCCGCTGCACTCCAGCCTTGGCAACAACAGTGAAACTCCGTCTCAAAAAAACAGGAACAAAGAGCAGATGGAACACACAGAAAGCAAAGAGCAAGATGGTGGCATTACACACTTGCTTTCACAATTACATGACATACAAGGAACCCAAAAAATGCAAATGAACTAAAAACTCTATTAAAAGACAATGACTGTCAAACTGAATTAAAAACAAAATCTAGTTGGGCACAGTGGCTCGCGCGTACACTGGGAGGCCGAGGTGGGCAGGTCACTTGAGGTCTAGATTTTGCAGGCCAGCCTGTTCAGCATGGTGAAACCCCATCTCTACTAAAAACACAAAACTCAGCTGGGCGTGGTGGCGGGCACCCGTAATCGCAGCTGCTCTGGAGGCTTACGTGGGAGAATTGCTGGAAACTGGGAGGCAGGGGTTGCAGTGAGTGGAGACCGCACCACTGGACTGCAGAGACTCCATCTCAAAAAAAGAAGGATCTAAACATGCCATTTACAGACAATACACTTCAAATAAAAAATACAGAATGGTAAAAAGAATGGGAAAAGCCACGCAAACGCTCAACAAACCTACAAAAAGCTGCCAAGTAACACTTACGGCGGGTCAAGTACTCAGGTATGGTAAGAACGGGATTGCTACAGAAGGCATTTCGCAAGGACAGAAGAACAATTCAACAGGAAGACAAAGCCGTCTTGAAGTCTGTGGACCTAACAACACGGCTGCAACGTGAGGAGGAAACGGGCAGAATCGAAAGGGCAAACAGACGATCCTTACACATCTCTCGGTAAAAACAAAAAGCAGCCGCACACCTGGGGGAGAATACAGACGGTGTGAACGACAGTCACCCAACTCGCCGCGGGAAATACACGGAGAACTCCACCCAACAACCGCGCAACACACATTCTTTTCAAACACGTAGAACACTGACCAAAACAGATTAAATATTGGCCATAACGCGGGGTGCAACTAACTGCAAAGAACTGAAATTAGAGTCTGTTTTCTGACCACAGTGCCATTCAATTAAACATCAGGTAGAGGCCCGGGCGCGGGGGCTCAGGCCTGTAATCCCAGCACTTTGGGAGGCCGAGGCGGGTGGATCATGAGGTCGGGAGTCCGAGACCAGCCTGGTCAACATGGGGAAACCCCGTCTCCACCAAAAACACAAAAATTAGCCGGGCGTGGTGGCACACGCCTGAAATCGCAGCTACTCAGGAGGCTGAAGCAGGAGAATCACTCGAACCCAGGAGGCGAAGGTTGCAGTGAGCCTCCAGCCTGGGCAACAGAACAAGACTCTGTCACCAAAAAAAAAAAAAAAAAAAAAAAGAAAAGAAAAGAAAAGAAAAATAAGTAAAACACGTAAGACCTTTTACGGACCCGCAGGGTAACCTCTGTGATGCGCACGTACACTCCAGACGAGTTCTGAAGTAACTGGAAAACCACAAAAAGGAGAGCGATCAACCCCTGGGGGGTGGGGCCTCACTGAGACGTTCTTCCACCGTTCCTTCTTCCTGCCGCAGCTGATGAGGCAACTGGACTTGGCAGCCGACCAAGGCCAAGCTCGTGACTCCAGGCCCTTCGGCCCCCTCCCAGCTTGCAAAAGCCGCCCTCGCTGTAGCTTCTACAGCTTCCCACCGTCCACCCCACACCTGCAAGACCAGCTCCCATCCTGCCGCCCTGCGCTGACTCTTTGGACTAGCACGCCCGCGCCCGGGTGAATGAGCAGCCACGTTGCTCACACAAAGCCTGTCTGGGGGTCTCTTCATTCAGAGCGCACGTTTAACAAAAAACAGAAATCCAACAACAGAGAGACAT